TGGATGTGGCACTTCAACAACAGCCAGTTCTCTCCCTCCCCTCTTCAGGAGTGCAGACTAGCACTGTGATCCAAAAAACCCTCACACCATACTGGAGCAGAAGCAGGGTGGATAAAAATAAATGACTCAAAAAAAGAAAAATGATTTTTTTTATTTAAAAAGGATTTTGTTAAAAAAAATGATTTTGGATGAAAAATCTTTCTAAAGATAGTTTTCTATTTAAGTTACATTATAGTCCAAAGTAGGGATGCGGGTGGCGCTGTGGGTAAAACCTCAGTGCCTAGGACTTGCTGATCGAAAGGTCGGCGGTTCGAATCCCCGCGGCGAGGTGAGCTCCCGTCATTTGGTCCCAGCTCCTGCCCACCTAGAAGTTTGAAAGCACCCTAAGTGCAAGTAGATAAATAGGTACCGCTTTATAGCGGGAAGGTAAACGGTGTTTCCATGTGCGGCACTGGTGCTGGCTCACCAGTGCAGCTTCATCACGCTGGCCACGTGACCCGGAAGTGTCTGCGGACAGCGCTGGCTCCCGGCCTCTTGAGTGAGATGAGAGCACATCCCTAGATGTAGGTCACGACTGGCCTGTATGGGCAGGGGTACCTTTACCTTTACCTTTATAGTCCAAAGTCTGTTCATCAGGAAATAAGTGTATGTTTTAAGTTTTTCAGGTGTTCTAAATCGCAGTCTAAGTTGTTGTTGATTTTTTAATTGTTTAGCCATATCAGTTAACAAACATGGATACATATGCTATAATGTTATTGTTTTAGTTAAATAAATTGTTTAAATTGTTATTAAGGAAATGATTATTTTTCTCCTTCCAACAAAGTATAGCAGAAAAGCTGTCCAAATATAAAGAGTGAACTTATTAAACCTCACAATAATTTCATAATTATCTGTCTATGCATTTATAGTAGTTTAACCAAATCAGTAATTCTTGATACAACTGTAAAAACTACTCTGAACATTTTTTATTCCGAAAATGAAACCTTCATCTGGTTGTAAATATTAAGATTATAGCAGCAAGAATGAGCCTTTCTGTAAAGAAGAAAAGAAAAGGATTTAAATCAAGTGTGACTGACTAGTGATTTAAATCGTGATTTAAATTGATTTGATTTACATCAAATCCTCCCTGAGCGGAAGTGTCCCTCTCAACTTGTGGCATGCTGGCAGGTTCTTCGCCAGAGGAAAGTCTCAAAACAGGTAGTGATAAAGGGGGATATCAAAACCAAACTCCAATAGGGAGGGGCAGGGCTGAGCTGGCTTCCAGGGATCTGTTGGGTCCCAATCTGGTCTCACTGCCGTTGTATGATGACATTAGGCCTGATCCAGGCTTGCTCACTATGCTAGCCTGGAAATGGCATAGGAATCGGACCCAAACATCCGCATCCTGCACACCTTCCACCATGGTCAGCAAAGTCTGCAGATATGGCAGTAAGCTCTACCACCCTGTGGAGGTTGGGGTTAGGATTGCCGCACAAGAAGGTCTGGGTGATATATCAACATATCATCCAAAACCGCTTTGAAGTCCGTATCGTGATATTGGTTTCATAATTTTTGACCTGGCAATAACACGAGAGTGAGTGAGTGAGTGAGTGTGTGTGTGTGTGTGTGTGTGTGTGTGTTATGAGAAAATCACAATGTGGGGAAAACAGTATAGCTAGCAAATGCTCCTCTCGATTCCTCGATTAACTCTGCCAGCTCAGCTCTTCCCTGCCTCATGCAGGGGACAGCGAATCACAAGAGCAGGCGCTGGCAAAAATCACGATGCAGGAAAAACCATGAAGCCAGCCAAGGCCTCTACATAGCTCCTTCCTTATTTTATACATTGTGATACGTCAATATATTGCGGTGTTTAGCTAGTGATATATCACACTGTTGAAAACCACATATCGCCCAGCCCTACACACAAGTGTTATCAACGCCATCAAGATGAGTTGAAAAATCCACAGAGAAATAACACCTTATTTGATTCATTCCTTCAGCATTATTTCCCACCACATTTCCAAACTTCCTTCAGCCACCATGAAAGCTAGCAATTTATAATCATACACAGTGGGAGAACAAGAGCTCACAGGACTTTTACATTGTAGAGGATACAAAACTGCCCTAATGAACTTTCACACAGCTTGTAAGCTACAGACAGCCCATCTCTGGGAAAGCATAAGGCTTTCAAGCATATGGGTCAAAATCGAAAATTGACATCTTTTTACGGCTCAAGCAGAACAATGACCTTCTGTCAAATCAAAGTCTAACTCAAGGCAATTGGCCCCCCTGGGAATGCCTGTTAGAAAATGGCACAGGGAAGTAAAAAGTTCTGCTGGCTCATCTCATCAGTGCACCAGGTTAAATATCCTGCTAGATATTTTAATCCAATTTAAATTGGCCAATATTTGAAATGTGCTGCTTTGAGTGTTTTTAGCATTATAAAATCAACAGGTCGAATTTTACAAGGCAAAATTAATCTAGATGGGACAATCTAAAGTCACCCAAAGTAGTTTATCATTATTTAAATATTTATAAACCGCACTTTAGTATAAAATATTGCAAAGGCGGTATATAACATATAACTTTAAAACACAATACTGGTTTCATGATCCCACAAAGTCTTGTGCAAGGATACTTATGTCAGTTGTGAAACAGATTAAAGGTATCTGGAGCACATATGTGAAACCTAAAATAACAAAAATGCAAGATTGATTTAAATGAGTTATAAGATTTATATACATATATACTGTATACAATTTTCTCCACTCTCGACGTAGAGTCTATATGAGAAACATCATGTGGTAACCAGAATTAATTACTCTCATGAAAGCACACAGCTCTTTCAGTCTTCAGAATAGTTTAAATGCCTTGAATACCACAAAGGCAGGTTAACATGGCCAGGAATTGATAGGAACACAGGGACCTTTCCAGGGTCAGAACTTCTACAGATATGCCTCCTTTAAGGGCACACAATTTAGAGTTGTAAACACAGCATTGGTAGGGAGATAACTCCCATAGCTCTTTGAAAAACTGAGCCCCTTTAAAGGCACAGGAAAGGGAAGAACGCTGTGCATTAAAAGTATATCAATTCAGATAATGGTCGTCAACTGTGCTTGCCAATATCAAGCAACATCAAAGCGAAGCTTCCAACTTCTTTGAACTCTATGTTGTGTTGCTGGTGTAGCACTCCGGTGCGGAACCTTTTTTCAAGGAGGCCGCTTTCTTTCTTAGTGTGTTTCAGGGGGCCACGTGGCAAGGGGTGCAGCCAGAGGCTAAAGCTTGCAAAGCAATGGATGTGAATTCTACCTCTGCACAGTAGGCTAGTTTGCATACACACTCACACACCCCTCTCCATCTTCCACCGAGGCAACATCAGGGACACATGGACTTCAACAGAGTTAATTTGCTAGGATGATACCAAACCAGCTGAAACTACCATTGCAATGCAATCATCTCAGGTGCGAGAACAAGAGTGTCCAGAAAAGTTCTTAAGCTCCTGCTGCTCAAATATGTTGCTGGTTGCAGCCATCTGAAAGCAAATGCTTTCGTCACTTGTCAACTTTACATAGTCAAAATGGTCTTTGCCATCATGCTACGTCACGATCAACGGCGCAATCAACAAACACTTCATGGGTAGCAGCCCCATGCCACGCACCTCCTCTTGCACTTCCAAAGGAGCCTGGAAATCTTTAGTGTTCCAGCCGATGCACACATGTGTACCTGAGCTAACGTTTGTCAGGATACTTTTAACTGGGAGCAACAACCAAGAGAAGGATGAAGACAAACATATCCAGCTGGGACAGCTCAGTAGATACAGCACAAGACTCTTAATCTCAGGGTTGTGGGTTCAACTTGGACAAACGAGTCCTGCATTGCAGGGGGGTTGGACTAGATGACCCTCATGGTCCCTTCCAACTCTGATTCTATAATATAAAAGAGAGCTCACACCACATTCCTCACCCACAAGGTGCGCCTGATAGCCCCCATTGACAGTTTGGCTGACACAAACTGAATGCTTGTTCAGATCCAACTTCTGCATCTCCTTCAAGGCTTAGACAGGCAACCTGCCTGATATTTTTATTTGCTTTTATAAGCGTAACATGCATATTTATCCTTGTTTTAAAAACTGTGGCTTGGATCCTAAGAAAAGCTGCTGTACTAAGGAAATTCACAGGAAGTTTCACATGCACTCCTTATGCCATTGCCGTCCGTGCATCGCGAAAAGCCCCCGATGGGCTGAGGAGACTGACAGGATGCAGATGTGACGCTCTGCCCATCTTCGCATAATTCCCCTCTGCCCCACCACATCGTTCAGGAAGGTCCCCTGGCCCTACATCAAAACTTTTCAGGGGACTGGAAGTTATCCTTCTGTGAATTTCCTTAAGCTAATTTATATTAGGTTCCAAAACAGTGGTCTCCCCACTATACCCACCTTCCACCCTCAAGGTACAAGCACTGCTCCAGAGATTCAGGGCCATTAAGTGCCTTGATTCCATACATTATGGGTTCTTCAGGAAGGAAGGCTGGGGTAGAAATGTAATAAATACACAGGGAGTGCCAGTCAGTCTGTCAGTGCTGCCTAACAGCTGGCTTCCATTGCAAACATCCAGAGCACATCTGAATTGGAATCACAGTTCCCAGCCCACCGCAAAGGAAATTTCAATATGCTCCAGAGGGGTTTGCTTCCAAGGAAGCAAGCTTAGAATTCAAATGGCGGCAACTTTTGCAATGAGGCCCTTTTATTTTCTGAAAACTTTTATATACTTTTCCCCAGATATAAACAGCCCTTGTTCTGCATATAACCTTAGCAATTTGCACACACCCACGCTGCACAAAGCTGCCAGACAGATAAATGACCAGTTTACAAAAATGCTTGGTATTCTGCCAAGCCTGGGGTACCTCTGTTGTACAGCCATTTATTTTATTATTTTTCGCAATTGTTGTTCCCCACACAATGGAGGCTGGATATAAACAGATTAGAGAAAGTAAGAGAGTAGTAAATGCTAACAAATACTCACAGTCCCTGGGGATTTGATGTGGTCAGACAGTTTATGCTGGGGAAAAGAAAAACAGAATTATTAGGATCCAGAGGTGAAATTTACTGAGATGAATGGAGGTATGACATACCTCTTGTCAAAGTTATCCTGCCAGACCTATTAAGACAGCTTAAGACTCTCACTTCCTAACAATGAGCTTTGTTTTCTAGCTCATTGGTTTGCAAAGTTCTGCGCAATATGAGGCATTCTATGACACAAGAACGGAAGCCAGTTTCCCACCCGGATTCTGATCTTCCCTTGCAACAGGAGCTATTCCAGGGCACTGGTCGTAAACTGGTAGATTAGGACCCACAACTGAATTGGATCCTGATTTCATGGGGGTAGCAACAAGAGAACTGTCCCCCCCCCCTTCTCTGCATTCCATCTTTAGAAGTACAAAGAAAGGGTCTTTTCTGTGGTGCAGCCTAACTATGGAACACATTCCTGAAGGAGATATGTCTGGTGGGAAGTGGGATTCCCCATCTTCAATGCATGTTCTGGATGAAACTGGATCCCAGATCTGAAAATGTTGAAGGCTGCTGGTTCTAATTTGCACAGCCAGGCTAGAGATTTTGAGGGCAAATTTTGAATGTATGCAATATTTATTTTATTATCAACCCTAAAGCAGTAAAACTTCAACAATGTCAAATAATATAATAATAATTTATTATTTATACCCCGCCCATCTGGCTGGGTTTCCCCAAGCCATGCATTGTTTATAACTTAGCACATAAAATTGTACTAGATGGCATATTTAGGGAAATCTACAGATGTTTACTCCACAATAAGGCCCACTCTGCGTAATGGAGCTCATTTCTAGGTAAGCGTGCATAGAATTGCAGCCTTGTAAATGCCTTAAGTTTTGTACACGCAAAATTTAAAATATACCATCCCGAGAGAGAGGGAGCTGCGCACTGCTGCACCCTATGCTCCCCTAGGGTATCTGCGTCAGTCCTTTGAGAAGAGAGGCGGAAAGCTCCACCGCAAGGGGTCAGCCATATCAAAAGGACAGCAGATACAGGGTGCTTGCATCTAATATCTCCAAACTAGATCAAAGGTCACCAGGAGGAAGTAGCAAGCTGCAGCTAAGGCTCTCTTAGCTCTTCTCACGGCCTTGGCAGTATCATCTAGGATGCATCTTGGACTCAAATCTACAGAATTCTGAGGAATTAACCTTCTCTCCGGCAGTATTTTGTCTTCCACAAATAAATCCATACTAAACATTTTGAGTAGATAAAATTATTATCTTAGAGAGCATTTCACTCCTTCCAAAACAGACAAAATATCTCATAGAGGGTAGGAGTTTTTTTGCATTTCCCCAAATGGCCATTTGGTGGTGGTTGGGAAATCTGGTGAGGAGGAGAACAAGTCCTTCCTTCCTACCCACAATTTTCAAGTACCACCTCCCCAACCAAGCAGATCTCTGGCACACCCACACAGACTAAGAATGTCCTCTAGAACTAGGGTGATTGGGTGCGAATGAGGTAAGGGCTCAGGCACCTTTAGTAACTGTGCAGAAGAGGGAGCTGCAATACCTCCTCAAATCCTCCCTTCTTCTGCACCTGGCCCCTCCTAGAGCAAGGTTCTTAGTGGGAGAAGGAAATACCTCTCCTGCGCTTCTCAACAGCAGTTCTCTTTTAAGGAGAAGTTATTGCTCATCTAAGCCCCTACTCTAATGCCATTCACATGCTTTAAAATGGTGTCAGCAGGCGATGCTGTAAACACCATCCATGTGCATGGTGCTTTAGAGAATACAAGAGAACAGCTCTTCATTGCAGCACTGCCAGTAATTGCAATGCAATCTGAAACTGCCAAGGCCCTGGTAGGAAATCAGTTTGCATCCATCAGGTCCCAAAGTCTGGGGAACAGAGGTGGATGCATGCTAAGTAATTCTCAATTAAGAGCCCCGGTAATTCCAGAAATGACTGGCAGAATCCGAGACCAGGGAGAGAAGAGTCGGTGGAAGAAGATTGGAAGAAATTTAAAGACTATCTACAGAAATATTGTAAAATTAATGAATGATAGAATGATGTTGGGTAGCAATTAAGGGGTTTCCAGCTGTAATGCTCTAATATGAAAAAAGGGTTATAAATGGGTTAAAATTTAATGGTAAGGATTTGCTGAACCAATAAATTGAAGCGGAATACAAAAAAGGGAGGTATGAGGAGGTCCGGGAAATAAGTTAAAGGAAAATAAGTAACAGAAAATATGTGTGTTTTTAACTGTTTTTATTTTGTATTTTTCTATTTTCTTTTTCATTTTTACTGTATTATTCTAAAAAAGCTTAATAAACATTTCATTTAAAAAAAAAAAAAAGAGCCCCGGTAATTCCTAGGATCAAAACAGAATTTTGCCACAGTGCAGTAGTTGTCCAACTTAGTCAGAAAACCAATTCCCAAGGCTGTAAGAATTATGAGGCTCCTCAACTTTGAGACATAATGTGAAACAGATGATTTGGCTGAGGCAAGTTGATAAGATGACAAAGGGCACGTACAAGACCCATGAGCAGAAGGGTGTGAGGGATTCTATGGCATCGGAGAGCTTTGTGAGGGAGGATGGGACACAAATTGTTTGTCACCCTTGAAATCAACCCAAGGGAGCATGGGGTATTAGACATACTGTACTATAAGTAGTCACTCACCACCACGCAAATTGGAGAAGCTCAAGGCAGGCCACTTTGGAAACACATTCTTAATTTATAATGCCTCTGCACGGTGCTTCCCTTCACAGCAATATGCACAAAGGCAGGCACATGAGGGACACCATCATGTCTATTGTTAGTAGCACACCTTAATTTATTTACACCAGCAAAAGCAACATGGCACACAAAAGCATCTTGATAGAATCAGGTATGAAATCCCTCAAGAACAGCTGAGAGTACAACAGCAAAGACGTAATAAACTTGCTACTACAAACACACACACAAAGCCCCAAGAGCCCAGACCTCCCTAGAAACTTTCCTGCACACACTTTGGGAATCACCACTCCTGGTAATTAACCTAAATTTAAACTGCACTCCTGAACTTACTTGCCTGGGAATGAAGCCGACCAGATTTGTCTCTAAGTAGGATTGGACTGTGCTGTAACCATGTGCAAGACTACCCATTCCTATATGCCAGGGTGCCCAAACTTTTTTCAAAGAGGGCCAGATTTGATGAAGTGAACATGTGTGAGGGCCAACCAATGATGCTGAACTTTTTTTAGGATTTAGGTTGTTGAGCTTTATTTTTTTACAATTTCACCCCAAAGTTGTTGAGCTTTTAAAGGATTTTATCCCAGGACATATGCTGCCACGGGGGCTGAATTTGGCCCCCAAAATGGACTTTGGACATGCCTGCTATAAGCCCTATATAAATCACAAAGTTAACCTTGTTAAAAGATCCTGCCGAATACTTTCATGTAAACCAGGATAGGTAAAAGGTAGATCCTCAGGATCTACAACTCTAGGTGATTTGCAGTTGATAAAGTTACTTCTTACGCCATATAATTTAACGCAAGTGAAAATACATATTTCTCTGGCATGGCTAGTCTTGTTCTAAGTTTCCTCTCCTATAAAATATGATTATTAAGTGTTTGCCATTATGCCAATAAAGGCTGAATGAATGAAATGTGTGTGCCTTTGACTAGGTCTTTGTGCAGTTCTACTGGCCAGCTTTAAGAGTCCTATGTTTAAGTAAGTCCCTGATCTGTAGTAACTGAGATGTAGATTTGTACTCTTACATACAGTACTTTTTTTCTCAGCCTATAGCTTACAGGACATGCTGCCAAGTACTGGGGTACATAGCTGGGAACCAGGAAATCAAAAAGATAGTCTCACCACTTCACTTGTATATCCAATTGATCACTGTGCTCTGCAGGAGAAGGCCCCCTGTGGATACCATGTTATCAGGAGGTTCCTTTCTTGGGATAGAGGAATCAAGCCTTTAATGTGGTAGCAGCCTTTGGAAAGCCTTCCCATTCCATATTAAACAGCCAGTCTCTGGTGTGTGTGTATGTTTTTGGCACCTACTCAATACCTTTTTTCACCAAGCCTTTGAAGTTGAATATCTTTACATCCCAGTCTGCATTGGAACGAATTTTAACTGTTTTTATATATGTAATTGTTTTATGCATGGAAGTGTTTTTCATTGTCCTTACACTTGTCTTCGTGGTTGTTAACTGTTTTATTTGGTATATACAGTAATTGTTTATTTTTTCAGTTGCTATTACCCACCCCGGGACCTTATGGTAAAGGGAAACCCAATACTGTAAAATACACAGCTGCTGACTCCGCCGTTCACACTACTTTGAATTTCTTGCAGAAACAGACCTCACAACCCTGAAACCGACCCACCCCCGACATAAACAATCCAGAAAAAGCAAACCTCTCTCACACCGACATTTTTAAAATGCACAGATGTTTGCAAATACCTCCGCAGAGTCCACCATCCTTTCCCTCCAACAGGCTTAAAACGAGTACTGGGCAAGAATAACGCGCACCAACAACCCTCCCACCACAATTATTGGCCTACATACAGTATCACAGTAAGAAAAGGCAGAAGGGGGAGGGGCGCCAAGCCGCCGGAACAGAAAAGGGAACCTTGCCAATTAACGATTATTATTTCACCCCCCCCTCCGGATTACACTTGAACCCCTCGAAATCCCATGCGCCCGTTACCTTTGCCGCCGCCCTCGGTGACCCCACGCCCAGCGCTGCGCCCGGAGCGCGGGTTTAATTCATTCTCCACAGCTGAGGCCGGCAAGAAAAGGCTGCAGGCACACGCCGCGCTCCAGAGAGGAGACGTGGGCGGGCGCCGGTGTGAGGAGGCACCTTTGGTCGTCCCTAGCGGGGGCGGTGGGGGTCGGAAGCCCCCCGTGCTGCGCCCAGGTTCCTCCGGGCACCCGAGGGGCGCAGGCACTCGGATATATGCAGGCGCAGCGCAGGAAGGCCTAGAGAACATGGAGAGGGTGGGCTTAGAGCGCACGCCAAGGGGGAGCGCAGGGAAAGAGGGAGGCGCGCACACGCCAGCGGCCGGGTCTCCGCTGCCGTCGCCTACCTGGCTTTACGCGACGACAAGCGCAGTCACTTCCCTTCGAGGAGGAGGAGGGACCCCGACCCCCAAGATGACCACCACTCCCACCCGGGCTGCCTAGCAACAACTAGGAATCCTGGATCCGGTGCTTGCCAGGCCTGGATTACCAGGGAGAGTGGGGAGCAGGTTGTCACCAGCCGAAGGCTGCCCCATCTCCTTCCACGCCCCCCTGCATTCTGCACTCACTCACCTCGGGCAAATCTACCTCCTCCGGGGCTGCAAAACGGACCGGGGGTGGCTGGGCCGGCTAGGAGTCCACCTAGGCTCACCTTCTGCTCCTCTCGCCGTTGCTACTGGGCGCCTGATAGCATCATCGGCGTCCCTCCCCCTGCCGCGCTCGCCTCTCCTCTCCCTGTTTCTGACGCACTCATTCTGCAACGTCTGGAGCTTTCAGCTGCACCCACTCCAGCGCGCTTGCAGCTCTCCCTCCTCAGTGCATCGCCCAGCCGGCAAGAAGCTGCTGCTGCTGCTGCTGACACCGTCGCCGCTGCTGCTGCTCCACAACAAAAGAAATCCGAGGACAAACGAGACCTTGTGCGTAAAATCAACTCAAGCCTTCCTTTTGTCGTGCTCCAAAGATGGCACAGCTGGGCGAAGGATTTATGAATGCAAAATGAAGGGTAACGTTGGCACAACACACCACCTACCTTTCCTTCCAAAAGGCCCCCAATCTATTGCTGCTGCAGCAGTGCTCCACTACAGCAGTCGCTGCAAATATTCCAGAGAACAAAATGACTGATAGCTGCCAGTGATGGGCAGGCGGCAAAGAAACGCAGAGATGGAGAAAGACATTTGGAGAGGGTTGGCGGCATTGCGATCTCTTGTTTGGGTATGGCAGAGTAGCGAGGGCTATAACGTTAATGACAGTCTTTGCTGAACGTGCAGTAGGCAAATGCTTAGAAATTGATTGGAAAGCTGATTTTACAACAAAGGGGAGTTTGAAGCTGGAGGAAAGGATGTTCATGTATGTTACTGCAATGAAGAAAAGAAAGGGCGGGCATTAGTGATGGTCCATGTATTGTAAATAAGCCATAAAACTGGCATAGGATAACACAGAAGGAAAGTCTCCGTTTTATTTAATAAGAAACAGTGTATTTAATCATCTAGGCTCCTGGACTGCGTTTTGCAATGTCTCCCACAGAAGTAAATATCACTTTGCTCAGTGGGATTAGGTCCTGGTAAATCTGCAATCTATACATGCTTATTGTGGAGTAAATTAAATGGAACCGCTGGGACTTGCAGCTTGATTCTCCATATTTATTCAGAAGTCAGGTAAATCCCATGAAGGCAATGGAGTTGACTCCCTAGTAAATATGTATGAGCCTCAGTTACAATAAATACAATGTGTGCTTACAAAATCAAGTATATATTTCCTTTGGACCTTTATAAATTTAAATGCATCTGCCCCATTGGGCTTGTTGTAAAGGTTGAGTTTAGGCTAAGCTTTCTTTCTAGCTCTATGCCAGGTATGGGGAACCTTTGGCCAGGGGTGATGGGAGTTGTAATTCAGCAACATCTGGGGCTCCCCCATACTGTTGTTTAATATGAACAGTAAAATTCCAGTACCTCCATTAATTTGCCATTGGCCATATGACGTTCTCCTTTAATCACCAACCGCCCACACTTTGCCTCCACCAATCCAGATTTTCTTATACCAGGAATACTCCAGAAAGGAGAGGATATGGATTGAGGGAGGGGAAAATGTGGGAATGCAGTGATTTGGAGGAGAGCATCATATGGACCATGGAGACTTCATGGAGGTCGAGGAAGCTTACTATTCACATTAAATGACATACCTGCTTCGTAGTTTTACGTCCCTGAAAATGTGAAGTAAACTATAATTCTAGAGAACCGTCTAAGAATTTTGTAAAGATAAATAAGCAAAGATTTATTAATAGGATCCTGTTCCAGATCAGAGGGCAGTCCCTTTCCAAACTTATACGCCTTTATCTTTAGCTGTGCATTTTGTAGAATTGTACCCAGGTAAGTGTGGGAATGTTCTGGGGTGCAGGAGAGGATATATTGACTAATTATATCCTTATCCAACTTGTGCTAACAAGTTCCCAAAATATCAGCAGAGTTTATAAACATTCCCCTTTAAGTGCGCAACGGTAACGTGTGCACAGGTTCGCTAGAACCTCTATAATAATTACCCTGGTAATTTCCCCTTTAGTTCCCTCTTAAAATACAAGACACGACACAGTCTTCATAAAAGTATAAAAGAGTTTACTCACATTCTGTTCACAATGTGATCCCAGAAGGCACAGCTTAAAAAGGTTACATACATTTAGGATCTATCTTATAGCAAGATAGGCCTTATCTCCTCTCTTGGCTGGGAGCCAAGAGAGCATCCTTAGATGTTTCCTCATCGAAGGAAAATGGCAGAGAGAGAGAGGGTCTGCCTGCCCTGTGCTTTTTGTCATCACCTGCACAGGTGAGGCCACACCCACCTCTAGTCACATGTGGAGGAAGTCCGTCCCCAGGAAGTTTACCTGCTTGCTGGACAGACATCCCTCCCATGTACACTCTAGGAATGTTGTCATTGACTGCTCCTGTGTTTACATCCCACATACCCCTTCTCAGGCAATACAACATATACAAAATATAAACAACTTTATTCAACCACCCAGAGTCCCAGCTTGACACGTAGATTCTGGAAACTCTCTCTTGGTAGGGGTTTCGTCAGGATGTCAGCAGTCATCTCTTGGGTGCTGCAGTAGGATAGCTCCACAAGTCCATCCTGGATCATCTGGCGTATGTAGTGGTATTTAACCCCAATGTGTTTTGTTCTGGCCAGGAACTTCTCACTCTGCGTCAGCTTCAGGCAACTTTGATTGTCCTCTAGCAAGCTGACAGGCCCTTTTCTCACCAACCCAAAGTCCTTTATGAGTTGATCAAGCCAGGCGATCTCTCTGCAGGCTTCTGTTGCTGCAACGTATTCTGATTCTGTGGAAGATAATGCTACACAGCTCTGTTTATAACTGCCCCACGCGACAGGTCCATCACCAAACATAAAAACATGACCACTCGTTGATTTATAGTCAGCATTATCCCCAGCCCAATCAGCATCTGTATACCCAACAAACTTAGGGTCTTTGACAGCTGGTAACCTTAATTTACAATTCATGGTACCCTTCAAATATCGCACCACCCTCTTTACACCTGCCCAATCATGCTCAGTGGGAGAATTCACTTTTCTGCTAAGAATCCCCACAGCATTAGCTAAGTCAGGTCTACATGTGGTAACTAAATACAAAAGTTTACCAATCGCCGACCTGTAGTCATTGTTGTCTGGCAACTGCTTCGAATCCTGCTGATTCTTCAGGAAGTCAGTAGCCATCGGTGTAGCAACTGGATGTGCGTCTTGCATCTGCATGTGCTCAACTAGCTCGTGGATCTTCTGTCTTTGGCTGAGAAGAAATGATCCGTCCTCTTCTCTTTCCACCTGAATCCCGAGGTAATACTGGACATCTCCTAGCTCCTTGACCTCCACCTCCTTGCTAAGGTGTTTTACTATCTGTGTATAGTCTTTCTCACTTGCTGTGGCAATAATCAGGTCATCAACAAATGCTAGGATATATGAGAATTGTCCATTATTTGACTTACTGTACAAGCACTTGTCAGCATCGCCTTGCTTGTACCCAAGTTGCGTCAGCATTTTATGCAACTTCTGGTTCCAGGCTCTAGCAGCCTGTTTAAGTCCATAAAGTCCTTTCTGCAGCTTGCACACTAGATGTGCCTCATGTGGTTTTACAAAACCCTTGGGCTGCTTCATGTAAATTTCCTCTGAAATCTGCCCATGTAGAAAAGCGGTAGCAATGTCAATGTGTTTCACCCTCATTTTCTTGGAGGCTGCAATGCTTAAAAGCATTCTTACGCTGCTGTACCTCACAGTTGGTGCAAAAACTTCATCGTAGTCTTCACCAAAACGCTGTGAAAATCCCTGTGCCACAAGTCTAGCTTTGTAGCGCTGCACTTCTCCTTCTGACCCCTTCTTAACCTTGAAAACCCATTTACTGCCAATGGCCTTCTTACCGGGAGGCAGCTCAGTGAGTGTCCAGGTCTTGTTCTGATGCAGTGCATCCATCTCCTCCTGCGCGGCCTTCCTCCAGAGACTGGCTTCTGCAGCTGGCATCTCCTGTATCTCTTCCCAAGTGGAAGGTTCCCGTGGAAACGCCGACCCTGCAAGGTAGGACAACCGTACTGGTGGGACACCTCTGTTGGTTCTGGATGAGCGTCTGACCTCTGGTTCTGCGACCGCATCAGCTTCCTCATCCTCCTCTAACGCAGGCATGTCCCCATCTGAGTCCTCATCTTCGTCTCTGGTGCCGCCAGGGTTCTGGTCCTCTGCGTCTTCTGGTGCATCGCCTGTAGGGGGCGCTGTAACACTCGAAGGCAGATAATTACTTTGTGGGGTCTCAAAAGGGAAATATACAAACTCTTGAGTCCTTTCTGACTCATCTGAAGAATCCACAACAGTGTTCTTAGTGTCTACTTTTCCATATTCATCAAAATAAACCGCATGGTATGCATTTGTCTTACCAGTTTGTAAGTCCGTAATTCTGTATCCTTTGCCTCCAGAAGCATATCCCACAAGGATACCTGCTTTTGCCCTGAAGTCAAGCTTGTGTCTGTGTTCCTTGGGCACATGGAAGTAACACTGACTTCCAAACACACGTATGTGCGACAGATTGGGAGCTTTCCCATGCCAAAGTTCAAATGGTGTGCGCTCTGCACCTTTAGTTGGCAGTCTATTCTGCAAATAGACCGATGTGTACACTCCTTCCGCCCACAGCTTGTGTGGCAAACGTGC